AGAATATATAGAAATATATCATTATTCTTAATTGTTGCATTGTCTTCTATTGTATGGATTCACCACAATTTATTTACCCACTTCTCTGTTGTTGGATTTTAAAGTTGCTATTTTTCTATTATAAACAATGTGTGGTAAGTATGTTGGGCATACACACTTGCCCACTGGACCATCGATTTCCTTTCTGGATGTAAGATTGCAGGATTGAAGGGTATACAAAATATTCAGACTTTTGATAAACAATGAAAATAGTTTATACCAAGGGATCAGTAAAAGAACCCCGCAGAAAAATAAATGTTCTATTTTTATGTACATGACAAAAAATAAGAATAACCAATTCATGGAAGATATATTAATACAAATGACCAATGAACATTTGAGAAGACACTCAACCTCACTACTAGTAGAAAAAATACAAAACCATGACATACTATTTTTCACATGCAGATTGACAAAAAGTTTAAAGACTGACAATATCTAGTAATAGCAACAGTAAAGAAGATGGACATTTTTGTTCAATGTTTGTGGAAGAGGAAATTATTACCACATTTTTAGAGACAATTTGGTAAAATTTACTAGAATAATTACTGAAATTTAAAATGGTCACACACTATGAGCTATGAGTTCTAGAAGCGAGAATTTATGCCAATAAATTTTAGCACCAGCAACAAAATACTAAAAATCTTAGTATCCATAAAAGGGACATCTAAAAATGAACTATGTAGTTTTATATGTATTGACATGGAAAGATATTTTAAAAATCAAGTTACAGACAATTCATATAACACCATCCCATTTTTGTAAAATCAAAATTATCTGTGTGAATATGAGGCCGGGCGCGGTGGCTCATGCCTGTAATCCTAGCACTCTGGGAGGCTGAGGCAGGAGATCGCTCAAAGTCAGGAGTTGGAGACCAGCCTGAGCAAGAGCAAGACCTTGTCTCTATCAAAAAAAATAGAAACAAATTAGCCAAACAACTAAAAATATATATGTAAAAAATTAGCCGGGCATGGTGGCACATGCTTGTATTCCCAGCTACTCGGGAGGCTGAGGCAGGAGGATTGCTTGAGCCCAGGAGTTTGAGGTTGCTGTGAGCTAGGCTGACGCCACAGCACTTTAGCCCAGGCAACGGAGTGAGATTCTGTCTCAAAAAAAGAAAAACGAAAAAACCAATAAGAAGCTTAAATCTTTCTGTTGAAAATAAGAGAAGAAACTTCTCTCCCTTCCTTTTTCTTAGACATTTACTTTAGAAAACTTATGAGTTCTTTCTGTCTCTTTGAAATGTATGTAAATATTTTTAAATATTAACTAATCTTCTTGATCAGCTTTATTGTAGTTCTTAAGGACCTAGGAGCCATCCCTTTGAAATGTATCAACAAGGAAAACAGCACCTCTATTGCCCAGTTCCTATAGGAGAGTAGGGACCTAACATCAGTGGACACCTTGCTCCCAAACTACCTCCTGTTATAAAGATAGAAAACAGTTTTGTTTTGTTTTTTGGATAAATCCAATTAACTAAGAAAGATAGTCACCGCAATTTCCAAGTAAATTGAGCATGGGCTGTATGTGACCAACGGTACAATCAAGCCCTCCTACTCGAGGACTAGTTGATATTTATCTTGAGAAATACATGCATCTTGAGAAAATACATGCAATTAGTTTTATTTGTCAGGCTGTATAAAAGGGTGACATTATTTTGTGTCTTTGCAATCTTTTTAGCAGACTGTCTGTCATGGGCATCACATTCTGGTTTAATATTTATTCATTAACAAAACTGTTTTCTTTGTCTTCTACCTTTGTGGAGCAGTTTTCCAGCTGGGAGGAGCTTTTGCTTTTAATTATATTTCCCAACAGCTGCAGAGGTGCCAGACCACCTCATACACCCTTGGAGGCTGGGGACCCCCCCCACCCCACCCGGTCACCAGGTCCTAGTGGGAGGGTAAACGGAGGCCACGGGCAGATAGGGCTGTGAAGGCCACAGATACATGAGGGAAAGAAAATCATGTCACAGATCACAGAGGTCTGCTAGGGTCCACTTTGACATGATCCTCAACCCCCAGGCTTCCTAGGACTGGACAACTGGCCATCTTTAAGGCTCTGTCTTCTAAGGGAGCTTCTAAGGGAAGCTACTTCCCACTTGGTCTTGGAACTAGAATGCACAGGAGCAAGAACAGACCTTTGTTGTTGTTGTTTGCCACCACCTCCCCCAAATCTAAACCCACCTCTACTTCCTGAAGCTCACTGCCCTCAGGGAGCCTCCCAGAGCATCCCTGCTCCATGTCCTTTCAAACCTCCATTCTGAAGGGCTGGACTGCTTTCTTTAAATGTGAATGGCCCAACCTAATCCAAGCCAAAATTTACACTTTAAAAAAGGACTCTTGCTAAACTGAACATGCTTTCACTTTATTTAGTAAATATTTATTAAGCATATCTAGCATGAGAAATACAGACACTGGTTCCTGGGAGAAAAAGGGTAGGGGACCTCAAAATTAACAACACCCAGTCTTCTGCCCTCAAGAAGATTTGCTGTCTCTTGGAGAGGACACCAACATCCTGAAGCAGGAAAAGGCCTAGAAGAAGGAAGAGTTTGCTGTGGTTTGAAAATGAAACTGCTAGACTAAAAGTTCCCGGTGGAAACTTGGAAATATGTTACTGCTTTTAAATCCAAACCCAGAAACTTTTGGTCAGTGGATTAAAGACTTCTGAGAACATCTATGAATCTCCAGATGTTTCAAATGAAACATTTCTGGTAGAGGGAACGTGGGTTCTGAGGCTACTGCAAAGCCCTACACAGGCAAACATAAAGGCCTTGCTTCTTCCCCTCCGCTGATGGGACTGTAGGTGCCTGCTCCGTCAGTTGGTACAAGTCTTCTTTAATCTCACAGCCTTTTCTGCTTTGCCAGAGGTACTGTGACAGTGAGCTGCCTCTGTGATTGGCAAGCCCTGCCAGTCAAAGGGTCTAAATCTTGGGGCTTGGGTTCTCCTCAAAGAACAGGGGTTTTGGCACATGCACGACCTCCTTATTTTCTACAGTGCCCACTCCTGGACTGCAAAACCCCCAACAAAACCCTGCTTACCCGAGCTCACCTTGCATCACCTGTTCTCAAGGGATCTGGTTGTCTGCTTTGGGAGGACTGTCCATCGGTTTAGACTTATAAATGTTATAAGAACTTGCAATATTGTTAGAACTGAGAGACTACATGCAAAAATGGACCATAGCCAGACCATACATGACAGGAGAACTCTGACTCACAAATTCTGAAGCACCCAGCCAAGAAAGCCAAACCACAATTAAACCTCTGAAGCAGTTAGCCCAGAACCGTCAGGACTTGGTCATGATGCCCAACCTCCCTGTATTTTGCTCTCCCATTCTCTTCCCCGCTTCTTTCCAACTCAGGACCAATCAGAGAAAGCCAAACATGCTCCCAAACCAATCACATAAGATGCTCCGCTTCCAGCTAGCCCACCCCAGTTTCCCTATGCCCAAAACCTCTAGCCAGGGCATACCTGAGCCTTCCCCTTTTTTTCCACCATGAAGTTTTTCCACTTCCCTGTCTGCTTTTGAGTCTCTGCCCAATGCAAGTGATGGTGGCTGACTCCCCTGGTACAGCCAATTGTGAATAAACAGCTGCTCTCATTTGAGTGGCCTTCATTTGTCTCTACAGAACTCTACAGCATCCACTTGGGTGTACATGTGTTCTGAGCAGTTCCACCCTGGAGCACAGGGGTTAATTCAGGCAAAGTTAAGTGCTACAGCTGGGGGCCAAAAGGGATGGGAAATTAGGCCTCAGAGACTCTGATGATATTGAAAATCTGGTCTGCACTGAGCTGAACTGCAGGCCTAGAGGGTGCCAGCTAAGCATCCCAGGCAGTGTTCGGGCACCAACAATTCAGACTGAGTTTGGTTAAAAACAGATTCTTTCCAGCCCTATGGAGCCAGAAAAGGGCAGGGGCTATGCTTGATGGAGAGAGAAAAAACTTTGTGATCAAACTGCTTTTTTGTCACAAGAAACTAAGGCCTTATCAAGATAGCTCAGTAAAAAGGGATTCGATTTACAGGTACAAGCAAAACTCATCGAATCCAGGAAGAGGAATTAAAACTCCACCAGTTCCCTGGTGTGCAAAGTCATAAGAGAGGAAGGCCCTTCACTCTGTGTCCCTGTAGCTGAGGGGCTCTCAGCTGTCTATTCTCTATTTTTCTCTACTCATCATTCTCTCTGATGGGCAGACTGGTTTCTTCTGATTACTCACCTGTTTGTACCTGGCTCCCCAAATGGCCACTCCAGCTGCCAAGCCTATTTGAGCATCGCCATTGCCTGGTATCATCTTTGTGTCTGTTGGTTCACATTCTCAAAAAAGAGATATTTGTTTGCACAGTTTATCTGTTCAAGCCAAGCCACAACAGGTCATAGGCTATTGGCCAGGTGATGGATTGTGCCTCCAATCAGATCATCTATCCTTGGGTCAATCATGGGAGGCTAGGGGAACAGGGCTATGTCTTACATAAGGATGTGAGCATGACTGATGTTACGAACATGTTCTACTATAGAAAGCAATATTATTAAATAATGCAGACTATATACACCCACAACAATCATCACAAATGTCCACTAGGAAAAGCAATACAGGATAGAATAGTGAATTGGAGAATAATGAAGGTTATTCATAGAAAGATTCCTGGAGAGGATGGAGCAAAAGAAGGTCCATGCAGAAAAGGTCAGGAAGGAATTTGTGCCAACCTGATAGAACAGTTGTGTCCAGGATCCATAAGGAAATGGGGCCAAACATGTTAGGACTTCTAATAGGACACAGGATGCATAGAACTTCTGTAATTCTTACAATATTCAGTGTGGAAAAGACTTAGAGATCATCAATCAAGCCCTGTCACACTTCAGATGAGAGCACTGAGGTTCAGAGTGTCTTGTGACACAGCTGTGGCCACAGATTTCAAATGAGAACCAAGGCCAGAGTCGGAGTCCTTGTTTCCAAGCTCAGCCTTCTTTCCACTATGGACTATGCAGGATTCCCTAGCTAACTCTCTCTCTTGCTAAGGCAGCTCCTCTGTTTCTAATACCAAGGCTTTCTAAAATAGGCACATGGTGGCAAAGAGGAAGCCCTTCCTCAGTGCTCTTTGTTGGAGGACAATCTACTTCTCAGCACCATCCTCATCCTCTTTTCTAAAACTCCTTGAACCCTGACCCTCACACCCCTGAGCACCCCCAGCACTGTGTCATTCCTCAGAGTGTATACAAAGGGGTTGAGGAATGGAGTCACCACACTGCTTAGCACTGAAGGGATCTTGTTGATCTCCAGATATTCTTTCTGGGAGGGAGTCACATAGATGAACACAGTGATGCCGCTAGAAATGATGACAATGGTCAGGTGGGAAGCACAGGTGTTAAAGGCCTTCTTCCTTCCACTTGCAGAAGGGATGCGCACTATTGTCAAGATGATGTATGTGTAGGAATAGGCCACAAGGACTATGCAGCAGAGGATGACCACAGATGAAAGCATAAAATCCATCAGCTCAATGGCAGTGGTGTCTGCACAGGCCAGGGCCAGCAAGGGCCCACTGTCACAGAAGTAGTGGTTAATGACATTGGAGCCACAGAAGGGCAGCCGAGAGATGAGGATGGTTGGAAAGAGCACAGAGAGGAAGCCTCCCGCCCAAGAGAACACAACGGTCCCGATGCAGACAGGAGGTCTCATGATGGCAGTGTAGCGCAGTGGGTAGCAGATGGCGGCATAGCGATCATAGGACATGACTGTTAGCAGGAGAAACTCAACTGTGCCCAGGAAGAAGTAGAAATAGCACTGGGTGATACACCCGGCAAAGGAGATGGTTTTATCCCCTGATCCTAAGTTGGCCAACACTTTGGGAGAAATGACTGAGGTGAAGAGGATGTCCAGGACAGAGAGGTTGCAGAGGAAGAAGTACATGGGGGTGTGGAGGCGGGAGTAGGACAGCA